AAATAATTGTGTCTAATTAAAAAAGAATTTTTTATTAAAGCAGCATTTTCTCTACACGATCAAACAACTGTGCAGAATCTAAAATCGAAAGAAAGTGTGCACGAATTGTAGAATATTCTTTAGTGTAGTTATACTAAAATATTTTTGTTAATAACATTTTTAAAGTGCGACAATTAATGAATTTACAACGAACAAAAAATATGTATAGTGTTGAGCCGTTTGCAATTTAAACGAACAAAATAGAGAACAGTAAAATAACAGTACAATATAGTGAAATGATTATATTTTGTATTTTCTCCATTTACTTTTTGTCGAGCAAAGTTTTTTAATGGAAGTTTTCATTATCTCTGTCAGTGAACGCAAAGAGCGAAAATTAAATGGCGGAATTTCTCCTCATTCGGCGTGTAAATAATTCATAGCGAGCAAATTCGCACTGTGAGAAAACATGCCGAGGCTCGCTCTAAAATAATTCAACGACATTGTTTTATCGATCAATTTGCAACTCACTTCGAGCGTAAGTCGTCTTTATAACTGACCCGACGACCTGCAGTACATATTATAGCCGCACGTTGACGTTGGTATGGCACATAAACACAACTATGTGATAGACGTTGTATACGATGGTGCGTTTATAAACTTTCTCACGCATGCACGCATACAATGCACGCCGCTCTCGCGAATAGATTGCATACAAAATAATGAAAAACGGTACAACGATGATAACGTTACCATGTGACTAACCCTTCACGCTTAACTAATTAACGTACACTGTGGCGACACGTTTATTGAAAAATAAATATGGAGTAGTGATGCGCACACATACACTCTCTTTCTTCTCTCTTTTTGTCTTTATCATAAACTTAAGAAAGATTTTTCTTGTTTTAAAATGCAATGACATTTATATAATTGTATTACGATAATTTGTTAAAAAAAGTGAGTACGTTTTTAGTTGAAAAATATTACTACTATTAATGCAAAATTGCTAATTTTATTTTACGACTATGTATATCGTATAAGTTTTTTTTATACTTCTAATTTATTAGAGATTACATTTTTTATAAACAATACAAAAATTTTTTAAATCACGATAAAATTACTGTGTGTACTAAAACGAATAAATACTCATAAAATTAGCAGAATATTACAAGTCTCATAAAAATAAATGTATCATTTTTCTCACACTGTAATACTATTACACGAGATAAATAATAATATGTATTTTATGTTAAAGTTTAACAGAACAAAAATTAAATTATGGCTTTGTATGAAATCGCTTAAGTTGTATGTTCGAAAAGGATGATGATACTTCTTCTTTTTTCTCACAATAATTGCGTTACATTTTAAACTTCATATCGTGGTGTGTGTTTTAAAAAGGTCTGCTTTTTTTAAATAAATTACCATAAACTGATTAATCGATTAACTCATCGTGCAATCGGGGCCGTATATTACTGTTCCGCGTCGAGCCCGCACTTTAGCATTATATTATGTGGTTACAACTATGCAAGGACAACTATGTGAAACATGCTTATAATCGATACGTGCGATTTCGGGATATTAGCGGTGTAAAGCATATATATATATGTATATATATATATATATATGTGCATTTGATCATATTAATACAAACATATCTGATATAAAACATATTTAATATTAAACATATTTGATATAGAAAAGGAATAAAATTTTTGGAAATATTTCTACTGGAAATATCTTCAAAGAAACCAATAAAGATTATTGATATGCTAGTTCCATTTCGGATAAATATAACCTGACATTCTGAACTTCAGGATTCGCGAAATGGATTATAGCCGATATATAAACAATATTCCAAATCACATGAAAGAGAGATTAGTAAAGTTTTATATACTAAAATATAACAATGTGATTTATATGTGTAAATAACAGTTAAGTCCTAAACTTCTTTCCTGTTTTATAGAGTAATCAATAGTAGAAAAATGTAAAATAATATGTAGCCTTTTAATGTGAGTACTAAAATAAAATAATTTCAAAAATACATATATGAAACAAAATAAATACTTGCGTTGTATGATCCAGTTGGAATTATATCAATATAACTGCTTCCTCCTAGAGTTTATTATCTTCTACACTGCGGCAACCTGCTCATTCTCTCCATTTCCAATTGTACAGTTTTCTTCCAGCATTCTATATTTAGTGCCGTTTGTCCATAAGATAAGGACATCAATCTAGCAAAAACCATTAATGAGTGCAAATTATCTGCACTTATATTCTTATTCACGCTTCGCATCTCGACAAAATCGTCTTGGATGATCTAAAATAGATATAAAAAGAAAAAAACATAATCAAGCATATATAAAAGAAAAATCAAATATAGAAACTCATAAAACAAAGTAAACATAGATATTCATGTCAAAAATTAATAAAAATATATGATTACATACTTTCGTAATTTCTTCGTTAAAAACAAAATCTGTATGTCTAAAGACTTCCAAATATTGACGAATATTTGCCAATCGAGTCTCATTGTTTAAATACTGATGTGCAGCTTCAATTACCTGACTATATACATTTTCTGATTCTGCATCAACATTTAGAATAACTTGCACAGGACACTATAAGAAAACATTTCATAGATTAATATTCACAGTTAAAAAGCAATTTATTTTATGAGATAAATACTTACAGGAATAAACGATTTTACATCAGAAAAAATCAAAATTGGGATGTCTGTTTCGTATTCCATTGTATAATATTTGAAATCATATGTCAGTTTTTGAAACATAAGTAGATCGGAAAGAGTTTTATAGTTCTGCTTGCCAGTGATACTTAGTTCACCAGTGGTTAAACCTGTCTCATCTAACACAAGATGTGTATTATTGCTTAATTGAAGAATACCACTTGTCAATCTGTTGCATTCATAATCTTTTCTAAAAAAAATAATGTTAAAATGTAACCTTATTCACTGACATGTACACTTCACTGAAAATGTAAACTTATTCACTGACATGTACATTTAATAAAACAAACTTACTTTGGAATTAAAGCTAATTCATTCAAATTTTCCAAAGTCACCTCCAAAAAGTGACTTTTCTTTACAAGTAATGTTAAAAAGTTATAAAATTCTTTTGGAAATGTCTTGAGTCTACTGGCTGGAAAATTCGTTATATTCAGTGGAAATGCACCAAGACAAAAATAATCTCTTCTCATATATCTAAAAACATTCCAAAAAATAAAATAACATGGAAACTTAACATTAAAAAGAATATTAAAATACACACATACATTGTAGAGAGCAAGTGGCATATTAAATAATCTGCAGCTAAATGATCTCCAAATAATAATTGACTCAATATTATATGTAAATCACCCCTGATGAGTTGCGCTTTTGATATGATTTCTGGAGCATTTATAATTTCAGATTTTGTGAGCTCAATCAGCTTTATTGCATGTAACCTATATATATATATATATATATATATATATATATATATATATATATATAGAGAGAGAGAGAGAGAGAGAGAGAGAGAGAGAGAGAGAGAATTTCGCTGGTCAATGATCGCCGACACTATATATTTCATTAAAAATTGTAAATTCGACGAAAAATACATAAAACAGGTCGTCACAATTGCCATTATGCAGTTGGATGCATTTTAATATTCGCGGATGATATCGATAAAATATTATTGCAGGGAGGAGATCACGATAATTATCGCAATTACGTAGTGAGCTTAATGTCACCAAGATACTTTATATGTTTAAATATAAAGTTGAATTATATAACTTAAGAATATTCTGTTTATTATTGGAATCTTATTTTGGTTATTAAAATCTCGTTATTATATTATTTTACATATATGTAATTTTATTAATTTTATTAATTATACACATAAATGCTTCATTTGTATATATTTTCCGTTTTTTTTTTTTTATATTATATATTTGTTTTATTAATTCTTTTATTTTATTTTTATTTACAAGTTTCTTGATTTTCTGTATAACGTTTTTTTGCTATACAGAAAACTTACTTACGTACTTATGTATTACAGTAATAGTGAAATAAATATTTATATATATATAAATAAATGTTCCGTCATAAATTCCATCGTACAGACTTTATATACGTAATACTCTAGAAATCGATAATTAAATATTTTCCATTTCCCAGAATTTTACCAATCAAAAAAATATGCGAGTTGAATGAGGTTAAATTGCATCCAGCAAAATTCCAATATGCATGATGTGTTATGTAAAATTATTGAAACATATCGTTTGGCCTTTCGTATAGCAAGTATATTTTTCCCAGGCAATTTTAAAATATTACGATGTTAAATGGGCAATAATCAAACTCAATATGTACAATATTTTCATGAGTAAGCGGGACCGTTTTAGATTCTATAATGCACAGTTGGAAAGCAAATGACTCGTAGATATAGAGTGATATTTTTCAATTTTTATGGGTGGCATTTGCTAGGTGATCGAAGGAATTTTTTTGCTGTCGCGGAAGCACTTCGAGAAGTTGAATAATAGCAAAGTTGATTCTCGTATATAACTTGTCCCTATATTTTATATTTCATGTTATATAAACGCAAGATATCATGAATATAAATATGAAAGTATACACATAAGAATGTCACCATAAATTATTATAATTTTGTAGAGAACATTATTAATACAGTTTCACGTAATATTTAATTGAGAATTAGAAGCATATGATAATTATATGGATATAATTGCGCAATATTTCTGAGTTTTTGATTTCCGATATTTCTGATTTTCGATATTTCTGATTTTTGCAAATATATATAAACTGTCACTTTTTATATTTTAAAGTAATATTCTATCATAAGAATTTTTCAGAATGTAGAATGAACTTGTAGATGTTACATTCAAATAATACCAATTTTTATTTTAAAGATATGTCAGTTCTTATTTCAAAAATACATTATTTAAAATGCAGAGGAATATAAAGAAGATGCACGCGTGTATGAATAGGAAAATATAATTTTTTACATTACCTGTTATACATAAGGACATCGGGTTTCCATAGCCGATGCGGCGGGATTCTAAGGTCTCGCACACCTCCGTAGTCTGAGACATTCCATCTCATATTCACGTCGTTCCATTCCTGTAATTGAACGAAAATTATGCACAACTATACGCAAATAAGAGATTGCAATGGTTAGCGAAAAGATAAACGCGAACAAGCAAAAAAATCCATTAATTATTAATCTCATATATTTTTAAAATAATTTTTTTATAAACTTTTATATAAAATAATTTTTTTGTAAAATTATCAATTCAATAATTCTAATTTATTAATATAGTTTGTGAACGCTCGTATTTGTTTGCTTGGTTTAGATTTGGTTTTACATAAAAAGATGCAAAAATTTTAGAAAATGATAACGAGAAATATATTTTATAAGATATATAGTGTGTGTAAATGTTATAGTTAACAGCTGTCTATAAGAAGTGTTCTTTTATTAATTGGGTTAACAATTTGATTAAAGCATCTTTGAAAAAAAATTAATGTTTCATATAATCAATGGGAAACACGGATTTAATATATCGAAATCACGTTCAACTCACTCACAGCGTTCTTTTCAAAGTGATGTTGACGTTATCGATTTTTCAAGCGGCAAGTGCTGCCCTTCGCTTTTTCGCAAATATTTTAGACTACATCGTATATGTCAAGTAAACACTACAGCATTTCAATTTAATTCTCGTTTGGGAAATTTACGAACGTGCAACTTTGCGAAAGTCCTGTCCTTTTGCTTCTGTAATAAACAAAGCGCACCTTTGGGAAGCCATATTACGAGTCCGTAGTTCGTGTGCAAACAAATTCAATAAATTACTTCCAGTATCTTTCGCCATTTGTTTGATTTCTTTGAGTCCGTAATTTTGCACGTAAATTTTTGATAAAGTTGTGTTGGCTTTTATTACAAAAGAGAAAAAGAATAAATTAGTAAAATTAACGTTGAAAGCTTCTAACGCAATATTTTATCATTACCTTTTATGGTAGTAAAGTCTAATATTCGCCAATAATTTTTCGCGACATAAATTTTAGTTAGAATTTTAGCAGTTTAATACTACATACAATACATACAATATTAGTCTATCAAAGTATACTTCTAAAATTTTATGCAAAAAACTATCATAGCAGAAATAGTGCATTTAGTTGGACACTGAGTATTACGGTGCTACGTGCCCGCTAATACTTTCCCCGTACTTTTCAAGAACATTTTCCAAACTTTTCTTGCAAGTTTTCATGACTCTTCCGAAGCGATTTAGAAACTTGGAAATATTTGTGGTTCAGGAACTCTTCGCTTTGGATCTGTAGTCCTTTCTTTCCTTGGCAGAGCAAAAATGAAATAGACAGAATCGATCCGGCCAATGTAATGATAACAAATCACTGCGCATGTATTTTTGACCGGATTTGGTTAAGAAGATTAGTCATGTGACAAAGTCATGAAAAAAGCCATGACAACGTCGAAGCTATATATTTTTCTTGTCCAAACTCATTAGGCTTTTCACTCATATTAAATCAATCCATATGATTATATATATGCTTATATATAATATACTTATTTATATTTCTTTATAATATTAATATTGTTGCTATCTTATTGGCAATTTTTTATTACATCTATGTCAAAAGTTATATATATTCGTGGTTCAAATTATATTAAATATACTTTCTCTCTCTCATACCAAATAGATAGATCTTACGGACTGACTTGATAATTATGATGATAATGAGAAAAATATGTAAGAGATCACATTAAGAAAAATATAGGAAAAAGTTTTCTAAGATTTCCCAGAAGATTTTCCAACAAAATTGTTGAAATGTTTTTGATAACAAGCTTAAATTTTAATATCTAGCAAGCTCAAATTCCGTCGCCTCGACTGTCGTATTCGTGCCGATTAGTCACTGAACCTGATTGATTAGCTGCTGATGGAGTGCGCTGCGAGATAATTAACAATGGCGCGTGTTATTCAGCTCCGCGCGGCGGTTTGTGGAGCCGCCATGCGTAGGCAATTATTGTTGTATAATCATCTTGCACATAGGTAGAAAGCTGACGCTATTAATTGCAGCCATAGTTCAACCGTTGATACAGAAAAGTCTTTTAGATTGCTTTCATATATAAGGAACTTTTTTTTTAAATATATTCGATTAATTAATTAATCTGACATATTTATATATAGTTTGTATGTAGTAATATCTCGCGTACTGTTCGCTCATATTGCGATTTGTCAGCTTTATATAACAACTGATGTTTAAAATAAATTAAATATATATGTACATTGTATATATTTCAAAAATCTTTCGATAAGAAAAGTTATTTAGTATTTTAAATCTTTATTTGTTTGCCCGAAAACTCTTTAGAGTTCTAATTTTCGTTCAGCGAAAATTCTGTTCACATCGTATCCATGAAAAGCTTGCCCGCCATTCTCTTGTCTCAGTATACTCTTATTTTTTGCGAGGAAGAAAAACTAATTGAGTCATCGGATGTAGTTATTGAAGGTAAATCCTTCTTTTGCAAAAAGCCATCTTGTCGATCGCAGGACAAAGCTTGTTGGCATTTTCTCGGGGTGAAAAGCGATTCGACCCTGCCTCGGTTGCGTCTTTTTACACGCGATATCGCTTCCTTATCGTCCTTATCCCGTTCTATGAAAAGCGAGATTCTCGAACGCGAGCAATGATCCATCTGTCTTCCACATAGGAGACAAATACCGGCAATCTCGTTTCGCACGCTCGCTTTACGAACACTACTGAAAAATACCTCTCGGTGATGCACGAGCCGATGAACCGGATGCAAAAGTAACCGGATATATAGGATAAAAGTCACAAGATCGGAACGGAATGGAATTCCGTTGCGAAGTGCAATTTTGCGAGTCACGCGGATTCCGAGCAGAACGGCTTTCGAGATGAATGCCATTTACAAGTCGCGCCTTTAGAAATACGACCTATTTTCTAAGACGGTATTTTTATGGATAAAGAGAGTTTTCTGATTTATTTTTTTCTAGATAAAAATATTTATACTATCGCTACATATCCGTAATTTATTTGCTTGTTATTATATATCTTTATTTTTTTTTTTTTAATTTTATTGTATTATGTTTTAATCTCTCGATTTTTGCGATATAATTATCAGAGAAAGATAATTCTACGCAATAATGTTTGAGTAGCTCTAATTGTTTTGTAAGAGAACTGATCGTTTGTGGCCGATTTGTGGTCGAGACGTTAAACCGCGTTTTCTAAAACAGGAGTAGCTCTGTAAAAGATGAGCGTAAAACGGCGCGACGACGGTAACGACGGAAAACCATAAAACTTAATGGCATCGCAAGCACGTGTTTTTATCTTGCTATTCCACTGTTTATGCTATTACACGACGATCAGCAAGTATAGAAGAAGCAGTAGAGCGGATAGAATTGTTATATATTAAGTTAAAAAAATGAGGCAAAAGAGCAGAGAAATACAAGAAACGCAATAATTTTCATAAAGTATTTTTTTCCAAACTTTTTGAGAATTAGAAAACTTTTCTAATTAAATACAATATTATATATAATATTAGTTTATCGCGTTTTAAAGACATGATTTATGTTTAAAAAAGTAATAGTTATATCATATATATTTACAAAAGTAGCACAATTTTATATCTAATCTGAATGCTCTCCAATATATATATATATTTATAAGTGCTTTCATATACGTGAATTCTAATATATATATAATAATTAAATAATATTTATATTTGAAAAAATGAGATAGCTATAAAATATATAGCGCTTTATGTAAAATACAATTTATGTTCCATTAAAGTCAAAAGAGAGAATATATCTATCAAGCGTTTCTCTATACGATAATTATGCATCGAGCGAAAAGTGGGAACTCTCGTGTAGTTCAGTGATTTGCATGTCTAATCCGGTCTTAGTTAGCATAACTTCATGGAGAAAACGTGGCCTAATATTCCTGCACGTACCATAATTCCTGCAACTGTATGATGTGGGATATTCATAAACTTGAAATATATATCCGTCATATTATCTTTGGCATAATTAATTCCTATGCCGCGATTGGAGAATTCATTATTTATCTTCTTGCTGTTACCTAAATTTTGTTAAAATTTTATTGAACGTTTTTAACATTACTTTCATTATTATTGAGAATTTAAAAGAAACTTTGCAAATTTAAAATAAAAACAAATTTAAAAAATCAGCTATAAATATATTTTTTTTTCTCACATAATTATAAATAATACTATACCCTTATAGCAACATAGAAATTATGTTTGCCAATTTTATTTTGCCAATACCTTAGAGTTAGAGTACGCCGTTATTATTTATATGTGTGTAAATAATTTATTTATCAATACGATCAGAGAGAGAAAATAATATTAAAGTATGGCGATTGTATGTTTATACATATACAGGCTGTATTTCACAACATATTTCAATCATACAAAAATTTTTTTTTTTTTCACGGATTATATTATATCGGAGCGACTTTTGTCCTTACTCAGGAAACGCAAACATATAAATACGTTTTATGAGTTTAAAGGAAATGCCTTTTATAAGTTCACATCCATTACCAGTCCATTTGCTCGAGACAGCCACTCTGTCTTAGAAGGAACGTTCCAGCAGGCGATGCTGTAAAAATCAAATATAAAATACTAACGGCCATTCATTCTATAACGACAATTACGTATCTGGAGGATACGTATATGCCGCCACCCACGGAATAAAACACAGCGAGACATTATCGCGCGAGACATTTCGCCGGAAGATCGAGACAAATGAGGAAGCTTAATCGAATTGCCAGCCAATCGCGAATTCCTTCCTCTAGGAATCCACGCTTTTTTCTCAGCCGAACGATTTTCACGAAACGAAAAACTAGGATGACGAGGGGACCAGGCATTCATGTTTTAAACTCGCAAATCGGGAATTCGAATAATTTTGATTACCATCGCTGTTTAGATTCCCGGAATCTCGATCGCCATTTTATCGCATAAAATCAGGAACTGAATAAGGGGATGGGATACTTTGGTGGTTGTCACGAGAAGGCCGATCTATGGCGCCGCATCGTCGGCGATCTCCCTTTCCGCTCCCGCTTTCCCCTCGGCAAAG